ACCATTACAGCAGTATTTGTTCCCTATTCCCTATTTAGTGAAGTCTGTTTATTGATGGCATTGCCTTATTTTAGCATTGCTTTTGAATCGAGAAACTTACATTGACCAAAACTGCAAAAAGATGACTGTATAAGCTTTGTCCAGATATTATAAGCACACTTTTGGTGGCTGCTCTGCTCCCAATAATAATCATGACTTGGAGGGAACTGGAAATTGCGACCGACTTTTCTTCCCTGTTGTGAAGTGAAACAGCCTCTCGGTTAAAGATTGTGACTCGAACAAATGACAACGGACCAATTATCAAAAACAATGAAGTGCACAGATATAATAAACACTGCAATATTCCATAAAAAAAAAGAATAGTAAATTTTGATCTCATGGGAAAAGCAAAGATTAACCGATGAATAAAGTGAGCTATAAATGTCCTTCAGTTGATGTGTGCTGTGTTGTGGAGTATTCTTTATAATTTCTTTCACAGGCATTTTCCTAGCAGAAGCTTGATGTAATGACATTTTATTGTGAGTTTTATTGGTGTTGAGGGTGTGTGTGTGTGTCTGCTTTGCTGCACTGTAAATTCTTCTCATGCATCCTTTGCCATGAGCGATTATTACTGTTGTTCCAAAACCTCAGTCAGTCAGGTGGTGACCATATGGAGATGAAATCAAACTGAGCCTTTCCACTCAGTCCTTCTGGGATCTTTCATTGAGATCTGCAGTCTCTCTTCCCCTCTAACTCCATCGAAAAACATTTGGGCACTTATAAATGTCTGATTGTCTTTGCGTTTGATAAATATAGTAGCCTAGAAATCTAGACGCACCCTAGCGGCAGCAAAAAAAATTTTGCAGCCGGTGTGGTCTAGCAACTCTCTGGGCTGGAAAAACCAAACTCTAGTCCGGCCAATCACATCGTGTATAGAGTTGGTGGGCGGGCTTACCAATGACGGCAGAGATGTGACGGTTCTGCGTGATTTCCATAGGAGATTTCCCTCTGCTTGAAAACAAAGAAGATGCTGCTGGCGAACAGCGTCTTTCGAATCGGCTTTGGCCGCGGCTCTGGAGAACTTGGAGTTAAGAGAAAGTCACTTAAGTCATTCTTAAAAAAGGAAGATGTGTTCGGACTTTTGACGATCGGATACGGCAAAAGTTTAATATATCAACTAGCTCCGCTGGTGGGAAAACGCATGGGACTCACACAGCCACAGCCGTTCGTTGCTCTGGTTGGTTGAAGCGCTGTCCTATTGTCAGATGTCTGACCTATTTATGAGAGAGTAGTTGTATTATTCACTGAACCAGTTCCTTTAAAAATGCCAATTCATTTCAAACGGTGTTCTTCTGAGATGCGTAATGGTGAGTTCTGCTGTAGTCTCAGACGCCACGGGCCGCTAGCTGAACGTCTGAAGTATATGACACACACAATTGGAAACACTTCAGGAGTTTCAAAGTCATCATATAATTGGATGCATTCTAGAGACGTGTGTGATGCGTTCTTTAGCAGTCCACCTGGAAACAAAGCCGTTGTGATGCCAAACCCCCTTATGGAACAGGAAAGCCGACCAAAGCGCAAGCGGGGCCAAATAGTTGGTTAACGTTACGTGCGAGACGCCGAAATGGATGCCAATAAGATTCTGAATGGAAAGTTTACTTTTAAAAAGTTTAAAAAGCCAAGACCAAAGTGATCTGTGTGTTTTGTCGTTGTGAACTGAGCTATCATCATCGCAGCACGTCCAGTCTGAAATACCACTTGATGATGGCCAAACACACACACACACACACACACACACACACACTGCTGATGCGAATTCTCCGCCCCCTCGTCAATATCAGGACCTCGTCAGTATTTCTTTCACCCTTTTATTGATGGACAGTGTTACATTGTGTGAGAGATTATTTGCTCCAAGTGAGAATGTTAGTGTGAAATTGAACACAGTATATGCCAATGTTGTTTTCAATAAAAAACATTTTTGCACAAACCAAGCCGATCCACTTTTCCATGTTGATAAGAGCATTAAAATGAGAAAAAATAATGGGACAAAAAGAAATCAAGAGACATTTAGATTAGATAAAAATGTGCGATTAATTGCGATTAATCGCGAGTTAACTATGACATTAATGCGATTAATCGCGATTAAATATTTTAATCGTTTGACAGCACTAGTTTACAACTGTGATAATGAGCACTTACCAGCGCCAACTAAACACTGGATGTTCAGAAGTATGTGAAGTCCGTGGCGCCACTGTTGCAGCAAACTTGCACAACGTTCTTGAATGAATAATTTATTAGACGCACACCATAGACTGTGATAGACTTTGGCCCCCAAACATGACGTGGAACAAAGCGAACCGTGATTGGTTGCTTTACATGTCAGTCAGACGTCCTCTTGGGCGGCCCTTGGCCAATGAAAGCTGTGATGGAGTCCAGACCGTCTTCTGCCGTCAGTCTGAAGGTCTGGCAACGCGAGACTAATTCAGCTGTGAATTGTTGTATAAACATAATATTACACTTGCAATTATGTTGTTGGTCTGGCTAGCAGTGTGGATTTTAAGAACGGGAACACTCAAGCTTGTGTGGAAAAGCTTAATCAGTATTAGCCATCTCTCTCTCAAGATAACAGCATTCACTTATGGCTATTGAGAAACCCATAACCAGCTCAGCTGTTGGTTAAAAGCCATTGCAAAAATGGCTCGTTGGATCTGAGAAAAGCTCTAGCATAATTTGATTGCAGAAAGCACTTGCTTTGATATTTTGACGACATGCAAAGACATTCAGACATTTTTAAGTGAGGCTGAACTACCCAAATACTACTTGGGGCCAATATATTATTGTACTGTGGGTGAAGAGACATGCGGGTACCTTTTCTTTAATGGAAGATTTTCATTAAGAAGCCATTTAATATATGATCTGTGTGATTAGTTTTCTCTCTTTTTTGTTTTCAGAGTTCTAGCACCTAAATGTGCCGCATGTAATCAGCCGATCCTGCCCTCTGAGGTAAGACACGCACATCTCATTTGTCTTGGGCATTTAGATGAGCCATATTATCAGACTGTGTCATAGGCTATGTTCAGACCGTCAGTCCAGATCCGATTTTTGTTCATATCTGATTTAAATCTGATCAGATTTAGCTAGTTTGATTGCCAAAAATCACATTAAATTTTTACACAACTGTTTCAAGATACATCCATATGTTGTTAGAAATCCTATTTAATCGCATTTCTGGAAATACCTTTCATTGTGACTGATCTGATTGGATTTTGTGTAGTTTATGTGACTTTCTCACGCCACGTAAAACGTAAACGTCAGACGTTATAGGAAACACGCTGAAAGTCGCTGCAGAAACAAAGCTGTGTTGTTGAAAAGTGTAGGACGAGAAGAAAATGACAATATAACGGACACATATTTTGCAACCGGCTGAGACGACAGAATAAAGCCACTCATAATGGTTCTGTGGTAAATAAGACAACATCTCTATTGCAAACCCCTCCATGTTGTTGTGGTTGTTGTTGTACTTGGCGTATGCCTACCAACACAACGTCATTACCATAGAAACCAGTGCAGATATTGCGGAAAACGAAAGAGCTGCATGGACACACAATGTGGACGTCAATCATTTTATATCAGATTCCAATCAGATACACAAATAACCGAATTTGGACCGGTTTACACTGAGAGCCTTACTGCTGAATTCCCATTTACTGCTCAGATCTGATATCTTTGTATAGCTGTTCACATTGTTGTTTTAAATGTGGCCAATATCAGATTCCAGTGTGAACAGATGATGGTCCTGAACTGACCCACATGCGCAAAAGAAAGATAAAAAGACATCACGCAGCACGCTGTAATAGGGAAGTAAACTCGGAGGACATTAAAGTGAGTGATTACGCGTTTATTTATTGTCTGATGTTGATCTAGAGTGACGTAAAAGTCACATGAAATCCGATTCGACTGTTCAGACTGAGTTCGCATTGCAAAACATCTGACCTGTGTCGGATTTAGGACCACATATGAAAGACCCCGTTCAGACTGCAGGCAAAAGTGGCCCAAATCCAAATTTTTGGGGGTCAAGTGACCAGGTCAGACTTCTTCAGAAGTAGTGTGAACACTCAAATCTTGCCCAGATCTGATTTTTTTTTCAAATCAGATTTAGACCACTTCCATATGTGGTCCTGAATCAGACCCAGGTCTGATTTTTTTCAATGCAGCTGCAGTGTGAACAACCCAGGCGGATTTGATGCGACTTTTACGTCAATCTACATCGACATTTGTCACAAATTAGCTAAAGAGTTAGCCATAGACACAGACAGTCAAATTCAAAACTTGACTAGGCCTACAAAATGGAGAACAGTGATGGAGCAAGTCAATGGAGGGAGAGTGAGGTGTTAGACCTAATTAGTATATGGGGAGATAGTTCAATTCAAGGAAAACTAGAAGAATCATACCGTAACTGCTCCGTTTTTCAAAAAAAAACGCAAACAGTTCACACTGGAATCTGATATAGGCCACATTTTAAAAGGTAATGTGAACAACCAAACAAAAAATCTGAATTAAGCATTAAGACTTGCGGTGTGAACGGGGTCAAAGTGGCACAAATCAAAATTGAAAAGACCCGATTTCATGTGGTTTGTGCTGTTCACAGTCACACTAGCCTGGTTAAAACCAGAGCATTCTCAGTTGTAACTGAGTTATGGTCTGGCAAAGCGTCATAGACAAATCATTTCCAGAGGGGCGTCACCAACGGACGTCACCGGATAGACCTAAACCCAATCAGAGCGATGAAGGAGATGGCGTATGCAGAGCGGCGGAGAAACATCTCCGAGTGTTGTTCTTTGCTCGGTTTTTAACTAAAAGTAAACGTTCAAATGGCTTAAAACAGACGCGATAGCTGATTGGAACGAGTGATGTTCGACGGCGGCATCCATCTTTGTAATGTAGGCTACAAAATCTGCTTCAAAATCCCAGCGCTGTCGTCATCGTGTAAAGCCCGGCCCAACGTTTCTGATTGGTGCCTCGATTTCGGCGGATTGGAAATGGGCTTGAATGAGCTCTTTGCCAGACTAACTTTCAGAGCAAATCTAAATTTCCCGGAAGTTGTCTGGGTTTTCCCAGGCTATGTTCACACGATTATGAGAACAACAGAGTCACATATATGAGCAAACAATCGGATTTGGGCCACATTTGCCGGAAGTTTGACCGTAGCCTTAGAGCCACATGTCAAAGCAAGGCTCTGCGAATGCCAGTTTAGACTTATGATGTGTCTTTGCTTGATATGGGACAAGTAACCAAACAGTGCATGGGAATTTTCTACTACTAAGTAGACCTTACAACTACAGTTACTTACACTATCCTGAACATCTCTAGATCATTCCAGAACACTTAAAGCCTTCTTTAGGCCTGTTACTGAAGTTAATTCTGTTAGCATTGATAAAGGAGTGATTACTGCTCAGTTAGGGCATGTGTCATTTGTTTAACCCCCCGTCTATAATTAGAGATGACCCCCGAGGCATGCTGCACTCCAACACCACGAAGAGAGCAAGAAACTCTACAGGAGTTCATTCTCCTTGAGCTGAAAGGATTGCTTTGACTAGAGAAGATCAGAAAACAATAAGGAATATTTCACCCAAAAATGTCAAACCCTCATGTTGTTATATTTTTCAATTGGACGCAAAAGTCTTTACGTTTCTCTTTTCCATTCAACAACAGTTCATAGTGACCATGGCTAAATAACGACAGGATTTTTAGGATGAACTATTCCTTTAATAGCAACAATCATCAACCAACCCAGGCTTATTGGAAATATGCATCTCTACCTACATTTCTGCAAAGCTGCAAAAACTTAAACCTACCTATACATACATTTCATGCGGTTTCCAGCTGTGATAAACACTCAGATGCAGTAAAACGGATAAATATTTGTCATTTTCAAACAAATTATGATGACAGGTCCAGATTATCAGTTAATGAAGACTTGTTTTGCACAGTTCCTTGTACAATACTATGTTACGACTTCAAAACACTTTTACCATAATGCATGATTTGTAAAATAATTCATTTTGACGTTTGCATCACATAATCAGCTCCATATATACGGTACTGTGCAAAAAGTCTTAAGCACATTAGTATTTTAGACAAAAAAAAAAGTTTTATGGCAGTTGTTTATATCTGTTTCAGTAGAAAACATCACTTTACATTTCCAAACATTCCCTTTACCATTATTTGTAATAATCCAGTGAGATTTTTGAATGCACAAGGGGTCTATGATCTGATCTCACCATCATCGAGTCTATCTACGATCACATGAAGAAACAGAATCAACTGAGACAGACTAAATCCAGAAGAACTGCAGCAACGTCTCCAAGACGCTTGAAGAAAATACTAATGTGCCTAAGACTTTTGCACAGGACTGTATATGGCTTTTCTTACTCAGTTGCTCACCTGGTGTAGCATTGCATCTGTGATGTCCTCAGGTACGAGTCCTGTGAACTCATGAAATGCAGACAGTATTTTCAATATTAACACATAGTGAACAAGGGAAATAATCATTTGTATTAGTTGTTTGTCAATTGTTGACAGATGATAAAGCAGCAGAGAGCAGAGCATGTTCGTCTCATCGTGTGTGTTTGTCCAGATATGTGTCATAATCTCACTGGTTGTTTACTCCCATAGGGATCGGATGAAACCATTCGAGTGGTCTCCATGGACAGGGACTATCACGTGGAGTGCTATCACTGTGAGGTGAGTTGAGCTTGGAAGATGACAACAGTAATACAGTCAGAAAACTACGCAAGTCTCGCAAGATTTAGGGCCCTATCTTGCACTCGGCGCAAATGACTTTGTACACTGACGCATGTATCGTTCCTATTTTGCACCCGCGCAAAGCGGGCTTTTCCCTCCACAGACGCACGTCGGTTAACTAAGAAATACACTTGCGCTCCCCGGGGCGGTTCAGCGCAAAGAGGAGGCGTGTTCCGGCGCAAACTTTCCCTCATGCTATTTTGCTGTTCTATAAAACAATTGCGCCACTGACCAGAAAAAAACTAGTCTAAAGTCAGTGGCGCGTTGTTCATTATGCTATTTTAAGGGCGCATGCTTGGCCATAATCAATGTAGCGTGTGCACAACGCGCATACACGTTGATTCTCTCATCTAAGCAGCAGTTTTCATTTTTGCAAATCATACATTATTACGATAGATAGATAGATAGATAGATAGATAGATAGATAGATAGATAGATAGATAGATAGATAGATAGATAGATAGATAGATAGATAGATAGATAGATAGATAGATAGATAGATAGATAGATAGATAGATAGATAGAAAGACAATTTATTATAAAAGCATGTAGCTTACACATTTACCCAAATTATCATACGCCTGTTTAACAGAAGTTAATTTGGGTGGGTTTCTCCATCCCCAATGTCACTTCTCTGACGAGAACGCTGCTCTCCTCGGCTGTGAACCGCTCCTGGCGCGCGCATGGCAAATCCGCCGTTATAATAGGAATCCGCTTTAGAACAAGCGCGCCTGCTCTTAAAGGGAATGTGAGATGACGCTCTGATTGGTTTATTTCACGTTACGCCCAAACCACACCTATGAATAATGAAGCTACTTCAGGCCAACCCCTTTTAGATTTGCGCCAGGCGCAAGAGGCATTTATCCCGCCGGGAAAATAGCAACAGCGCCGGGATCCGCCCACAAAGTTACTTGCGCTTTACGCTTTGACACTTGCGTTTCAGATCGTTAAAATAGGGCCCTTAGTGTCATTCTCAATGGCCATATGATGCTGTTTTAAAAGTTCATTATTTTGTAATAGAATAGTTTAACATTAGCCTGGCGTCAGATGCTAGTCACACTGAGTCTGATGCTGCTCCACTGGGCTGTGATTATGGGGCGTTTCAACCCAACCTGGAAAGAAAATGCCTCTGCACTCGATTGGATCGACAAATGCCTTGATCGCGGTTCTCTGTTCCTCTTTTAAATGAATGCGCTGTCTACATCTCCTATAACAGCAGACGCGACGCTGAATCTACACATCTCAGTTCTCCAGCGGCGGCCATCTTTGTTGTAAACGAACTCAACCCAAGCGCTCTTTGGTGACGTGATGATTACGTTACGGTTGATCATCTGTCCATCATCGTATAAAGCCCGCCCTGATGATTTGATTGGTCCGAACAGCTTTGGTTCGAGTATAGTTGCTTCACAACGGATCGAGTCCAGGCCGAACTTCCCATCCTCAAATGTTATAGGCGGGGCTAAGTTCGGCTGGGATCCAGGCTAGCTTAACTTGCTTCAACGTTCAAAAAACACATTATTTTTCACACACTGTACATTATTGTAGCATGAATTTGAGCCATGAGCGTGTGAAACTCTTTCCCCAGGACTGTCAGATGGAGTTGAATGACGAGGAGGGTCACCGCTGCTATCCTCTGGACGGACGCCTGCTCTGTCACGCATGTCACCTGAAACACATCGACCCCGCCGCCCCTCTGTCCACAGCACACAGCTATCACAGTCAGTTTTAGAGATCTCACACCCCCTTGTGGGCGTTCAGAGATGTCACCGTTTGCCAAAGATGCTCAGCTCATTACCAAAAGCCCCAGCTGAGATTGAGATTACAAAAACAAAGTCATTTAGCCTTGCTTGTATGAGACAAATGCTGTAAACAAAGAGCCATTGGCTTATGCAAAATGCTACCGATATTTGTAAATAGGGCAACTAGTACATGTTACAAAACCGTTTTTCTGAATTTCTTGAATGCCACCTAATAGTATATAAACATTTATTTAAAGGTGTGCTCAGTAATTCTTTTTATTCACTTGTGCTGAGTCCTGAAGTTATGCCGATACCAAGCAAAGTAGATGCTAGAAAAGCTATTTTTTGTGTACTGATGCCATTGTGAACATTTAATTATTTCAAAAGCTCATTTGGATGCTTGTGCATATGTAAACGTCAAGCATAAACCAAACAATGCAGCTTTTCCGGGTGATCACTTCAGATGAATCTTTATTTATTAAAAATCACACTCTTCTACAGTCATGTTTGGAAAACTATTATTCGAAATACCTTTGAGATTATATCATTAAACATAATTCAGCAGTACTCCACAACTCTGAAACTTGGCAGGTCAAACCCACACCGACCTTGATTGTTTGTACATTTTGTTCAATAAAGGATTGAACAATCAGGGTCACAAAAGCTGTTCTTGCAGAAATTCAGATCATTTAAGTGGGTTCACCAAACACCAGATTAAGATGACATTATCTTGAGGCCAAAAGAAGTAACTGCAGCGTAGCTCACCTTAGTAAATCATTCATAACTCTATCGCTTTATGATTTTCACAAGTGAAGCGGTTGATTGTGTTCACTGCCTTGTCATCTTCTCAGATCTCACTGTTACTTATTTATCGATCTACTCCTATTAAGAAGTAGGATGTGATGTGTTATGCGGATGATTTTGAAAAATAAAAGATTTTATGATTTATCAAGAATATTTGTTTCAGCTCTTCTATGCTAGAAGTTTAACGTTCACCCAAACATGGAAATGCTGTTATTATTTAGATGCCGTGTCATTCCAAAACTGTGTATCTCTATTTACTATCATTCCTTGTTTATATTGCTAAATATAACTGACTCATCAACATACACTACCGTTCAAAAGTTTGGGGTCGGTACGATTTTAAATACTTTTAAAAGAATTCTCTTCTGCTAACCATGGCTGCGCTTATTTGATTAAAAATACAACAAAAATCAGTTATAGTATTAAATATTATTCCAGTGTAAATCAGCTGTTTTCTGTGTGAATATATAGTAAAGTGTAATTTATTCCTGTGATCAAAGCTGAATTTTCAGCATCACCAGTGTCAGTGTCTTCAGTGTCAAATGATCCTTCACAAATCAGTATAATATGAGGATTTGATGCTCAAGAAACATTTATTATTATTATCAATGTTGAAACAGTTATTGGTCTGTCAGTTGTAAAGTTTTTTTTTTTTTTTTTAGGATTCTTTGATGAATAGGAAGTTCAAAAGACTTTTGTAACGTTATAAATGTCTTTACTGTCACTTTCGATCAAATTAATTATTCCTTGATAAATAAAAGTATTGATTTCTTTCCTACAAAAAATAAAAATAAAATTCTCACTGACCCCAAACTTTTGAACGGTAGTGTATATTATAAACAAGATTCATACCATTCAATTGACCCTACGCCAGCAAGGGGTGCTAGGGACCTGTTCTACCAGCGAGTCCTGGGAAATATCTACACACACATATACAGGTGAAACTAAAAAAAAATAGAATATTCTGCAAAAGGTCATTTATTTCAGTAATTCAACTAAGAAGGTGAAACTAATATATTATATAGACTCATTACATGCAAAGTGAGAGAGTTCAAGCCTTTATTTGTTATAATTGTGATGATTATGGCTTACAGCTCATAAGCTGTAAGTTTCACCTGTATGTATATATTATATATATACACAACCTTGCATTTTTTATTTTAGGAGGCTTTTTATTTCAGAAGCTTATAATTCATTACATTTCAAATAGTGCTTTTCTCTGCACTCAAAGTGCTTTACATAGAAGGGGGAATCTCCTCAAACACCACCAATGTGCAGCATCCCCTGGATGAGGCGACGGCAGCCATATTGCCCCAGAACGCCCACCACACACCAGCTTACTGGTGGAGAGGAGACAGAGTGATGAAGCCAATGAGTATATATGGGGATGATTAGGAGGCCATGATGCCGAGGTTGCACCCCTACTCTTTCGAAAGACTGTGTGACCACAGAGAGTCAGGACCTCGGTTTAACGTCTCATCCGAAGGACGGTGCTCTTTGACAGTTTAGTGTCCCCGTCACTGGGGCGTTAGGACCCACACAGACCACAGGGTGAGCCTCACCAACACCTCTACCAGCAGAAACCTGGTTTTCCCAGGAGTCTCCCATCCAGGTACTGACGCTCAGCCCTGCTTAGCTTCAGTGGGCAGCCAGTCCTGGGCTACAGGCTGATATGGCTGCAGTTTAGGCTCCTCCGTGGTTATACTAAACTTCACAGGTAAGATCCTGAGTGGGAAATCTGTACAGCTGCTATAGAGCAAAGGAAAGACTGCTTCTGTAAATGTGCTGGTGAAAGTGCGCAGATGTGTGTTCGTAAGCGGATCAGAGAATGAAATCGATCCTCCGTCCCAGTCCAGCTTCACTCTAATCACCTTCAGTCTCTCTTCAACGGATAAATGTGTGCGAGCCATCAGAGGTGACTGTGACGTATACTGACCAGCCATATAACGCACACGCCACACTCCAGTGTCAAAGAGCGCGTCTCCTTTTCTCTGGTTAGATGCTGTCGTTACTCCAACAGACCAGCACGTGTTGTTCTCGACCTCCACGTGCCAGCAGTGCTCTCCAGAGGTGAAGCCCTCATAGCCCAGCACACAGTGGTAATAGTCAAATCTCTCTGGATTTTCTGGACAGTGTTGTGCGTTAGCGCTGGATTTGACATGGGTGAGATCATCCGACAGGAACAGCAGAGGATATGCAGTGTTGGGGTCCAGTGTGACGGGAGCTGATGACAATACAAAACACATCTCAGGCATGAAATTACTGGTGCGTTTAAAGGGGTGGTTGACTATGATTTCACTTTTTTAACTTTAGTTAGTGTGTAATGTTGCAGTTTGAGCATAAACAGCATCTGTAAAATTACAACGCTCAAAGTTCAACGCAAAGGGAGATATTTTCTTTTACAGAAATCGCTTTTTAAGGACTACAACAAACGGCTGGTAGGAAATACAATGAGCTTATTAATGGGTTAGTGACATCACTAACACTAAAATGTACATAACCCCCCGCCTGCGTGAACATGATTTATAGATTATCATGACAGAATATGTCTAGAAGATCGTTAACTCCACATCAGGTACATAAATTAATCAACTAACCAATCAGAAATGTCCTGTTGCATTATACAAGTTGTCCATCTTTGTCTGACTCCGGTTTGAACATAAAAGCATAAATGTTTTTGAAAATTTCAGTGCATGTCTGTGTGAGGTAATCTGAGCTGAATTTTTTCCATTAATTCGCATTTAAAGGGACACACACAAAAACATTACTGGTGTGTGTGCTCACCCTCAAAAAGTGACAATTTTAACATGCTATAAAAAATATCTGTGGGGTATTTTGAGCTGAAACTTCACACACACACTCTGGGGACATCAGACTTATTTTACATTTTGTGAAAAGGGCATTATAGGACCGCTTTAAATCCAATGTGTAATTATTGCCTGTGAAACTGCCATAGAAAACCCACTGATATGAACGATCTCCTGCATCTTCTCCCAGACTTTGAACCTCAGGTTCCCCAGGTGTTCTGGCACATTCATCAATGCTCCAGTAGGAATCTCTGGATCCTGCGGTGTGATCCGGGCTCTGCAATCACATCCAGGAGTTTTAAAGGACAGAACGACTGCATGCAGAGAAAAGAGCAAGAGAACGCCTCGCTTACCTTTCTTCTGAGAACATGAAGTTCTGCAAAACACAAAAGGAGGAATTAAGCTTCATATGTACACGATCAAATGTCTTATTTAACCCTCAACCAATATTGATTTTTGATACAAAGTGCAAAGCTATTTACACTAACTCCCACCACTGTGTGATTGAGCTAGACAAAATCATAAAAGAAACCCATCTGATAACAAGAGCAATGGCGTGGAGAGTAAGGGGCCGTTCGCACAGAACAGTTTTTGTGTTCCACTGTGCTACTTTTCCATTGTTTTCCATGTAAAATGCGCCAGACGGATGCGTTTGACCGTTACACTCATGTCTTGCGTCTTCTGCAGCGTCTCGCACGTCACACAGCACTCTAAACACACGGCAAAAAGTTCAAAAGTAACATTTTTTAAAAAGTCTCTAGTCCTTGCTGGGGGTTTTTCCGTGTTTAACACTGCAAAAACGTGTTCTGTGTGAAAAAGTAGGAGCAACATTCCTGTCTGAAAATGTCGTCCTAACCATATAACTACTCCTAAACCTAACCCTACTCATGAGTTATACCTAAAATCAGAGGGAAATGACAGGTGAATAACACTGATGTAGAACAGTGTGAATAATACTGATGTTAGGTCAGGGTTCGGGTTAGTGGAATAAATTGACATGTACAGTAGTTGCAAAGTTAGTAAATGTCTGTTGGAGCATCAAAATAAAGTGTGTGCAGATAGTAAGCAGACAGTCTACTAATACTCTAAGAGTTAGTTGATATGTAGTGGCAAAGTTACTTATAGAACGTCTAAAGTGGCCCATTGAATTACAGCGTTTCTGAAAATACTGATATTTTTGTAAATAGCTGCCAATAGTTTTTCGTATAGCATTTAGTTTCTTTGTTTAACAGGTCTGTCTAATAGTTTATTAGAACTGTTAAACAGAGAAGACCGAGATAAACTAATGATGAAGGAGAATGGGAGCTCTGATGATCTCAGCGATGTCAAAAACAAAATTCGACACATCGACCAAACAGAAACTCTATGGCCAAATATCAGTCACTTTAATGCCTTCATGCTTGATCATGGATACAGTGAAACAATATTGTATAGATAAATAAAATAAAACCCAGATTAATACAATAAAAATAGGTTAATAGCCTACAGTAAAACATTGAATTGAAAATACAGGTGAGTTCTTCTCACCTGCAGAAAGGTCATGTTGGCCGCGTCTAAATCATCTTTTATAGTTCTGATGTTGCTTGAAAGAGACTCTATTTCTCTGTCGATTTGTTCAATCCTTTCTTCCATCATCCGACTCTTCTGACTCTCTTCCTCTCTTAGTGCAGATATTCTGTGCATCTCTTCATCCCGCAGACACTGATGAAGCCGCTCGAACTCCTCCTGCAAGCGTCTCACAGTCTGCTGAGCCTGAGTCTGCGCTCACAATACACAGATTTCTCCTACCTGAATTATCGTGAAAAAATGTATCTAGAAAATGTCACTGTATATTTCTCACCTTAATGTGTTGTGCTGTATCATCAAATGATTGTTTCATTTCTTTAAAGCTCTCGAGTTTTTCTTGTAAACGTTTTAATGAGGTCTTCAATTCCTCCTGAAATACAATAAACAGTTGATGTTTGTTAAATCAATGGAACGCCATTAATATGCAAAAGAGTAAGTCTATATAATTTTAAGCAGTGATTCCCAAACTTTTTTACTCACATATTGGCTAAGATCATTCTTATTTTTATGTATTTATTTATTATTAACAGAAACTGGGAGTGTAGATATATTAAATTAATTAAACACAATTCATTTTGTCATCCTATAAGATTCTATATTTTTTAAGTAAAATAAGTTACTGAGGGAAAAATTGACATCTTCACCCTTTATTCAAATATTATTAAAAAAAATCTGTTTTGTAAAGATTTTGTAAGGATATTGTGTAGTTGTGCTAATAGTCAATTGTTTTATTTGTAATAATAACTCAATGAAACTTGGTATAAATGATCATTTTTGGCCAGGCTGTCATTCAAAGAAATGATGAACACAAGCAAAAAATATAGAAAACCAATGAAATATTAATAACTGATTATGCTATAGTCAATGTTTGCTTTTTCCTGTGTAATATTTTATTTTATTTAACAAAAAAAAAAAAAGCTCACAGGAAAAAGCAAACATGTAGCAGTATTATGCCTTTGCCAAATAATTTTGTCAGATAAACAACTTAACCAACCTTAACCAAGTTTAGTGTTTTATTCTTCCATCATCTATATAGCCTATATATATATATATATATATCAACTTGAATTTGTAGGGTCCTTCCAAACCCTCCGGTGACCGGTCAACACTTTATAAGCACTAGTCGAGTTTAAGCACTAGTCAAATTATTCACTTAAATGCTGTATGACCCCTTTCTCCAAAAGAACACCGATGTTTCACCTTCATAAGTGGAGCGACTTCATCGACGGGCCTGAATGTGTGGTTGAGGTGTTTCTCCGAGTCTCTGCACACCAAACACACAGGCTGTTTGTCATCCAGACAGAAGAGTTGGAGTTTCTCTCTGTGCACATCGCAGAAGAACACACCAGATGAGGAGTTTCTCTTCCGGAAGAATGACTCGCAAATGTTCCGCAATGCGAGATTATCCGGTGGAAGAAACCCTGTGAACCTTTTCCCGCAGACGGGGCATTCCTGCAGTCCTCGCTCGCTGCAGACCCGCTGGAAACACGCTTTACACACACTGTGACTGCAGAGCAGAAGCACGGGACGGGTGAAGATGTCGAGGCACACGGGACACTGCAGATCCTCCTCTGGGACTTCCCTCAGAGAACTCATTTTCTATCGCAGTCCCTTTAGTTTTGCTGCAAAAACTTCTTCTTTTTCTTCTTCTTTTCGTTTTATGGCAGATTGAAAAACTTCAGAAATGAAAGCTTCTCATGTCTGTTTTCCCGGATATCCGTGTTAGGATCAGCCCCTAAAACTTGATCATGTGATCATCGTTATTGAGGTTAAAGATTACTTTAGAGGACGCTTGCAAAGGCAAATTGACTGCCATATGTTTATTTGAGCTGTCTGTCTGTCTGTCTGTCAATAATTCCACTGAGTGGAAAAAAAGATTTTCATGCCTTCAAGCAAAACTTCATAGATGCTCTCTTCTCAATTAATTTCCTCTATGAAGTGGAATATACAATGCAATAAATGTAGCCTAATGTACAGTAAAGTATGTTTTTGAAAGATGTCTCTTCTGCTCACCTAATTAAAAATACAGTAAAACAATATTGTGAAATATTATTACCATTTAAAATGACACTTTTCTTCTGCAATATAGGCTATTAATATAAACTGTAATGATCAAAGCTGTATTTTCAGCATCATTACTCCAGTCTTCAGTGTCACATGATCCTTCAGAAATCACTCTAATATGATGATTAGATGCTCAAGAAACATTTCTGATTATTATCATTATCAATGTTGAAAACAGTTGTGCTGCTTCATATTTTTCAGGATACTTTAGAAAGTTCAAAAGAATAGCGTTTATTTGGAATACAATCTTTTGTAACATTATAAAGGTCTTCTCTGTCACTTTTTTTCTGAATGTTATGATCCAATCTGACTTCTGACCTGTAATGCTGCATGAATCATAATCTGTCATGATTCTGCCTTCTTGTCCTTGTTTTTCTTTAGTCTTACTCTTGAGGCAGGATCATGACAGAGCCATGTTTCGTGTACAAGCACATGGCCTCTTGTTTTGGGCTGTGCGCTTGTGTTGTCTCGTTCTCTTACCCCGTCCCCTTGTTATCCTCATGTCATTATTGTTTAATCAGTGTCACCTGTTTGTCCTTATCATTTCCCCCCTATTTAAGCTCCTTGTGTTTGCTGTCCTGTGCTGGTTCATGCTTACATGGTTAATTTGTTTTTGTAAGTATCTTGTCTTGAGTCACTGTCTACCGAAAAGTTTTCCAGTATAGTTATCTTGTTCCTGTGAAGTTCCCTATCAAGGCTACGGAACTCGACATTACGGATGTCGTATATGGGAACTCCTCTCATCCTTCACTTCCGCTGAAGTCTTATAGGCTAACGCCAGCAGAGCTGGCCAATTGACGCAAATATGCAAATACTGAACTTCGTAGCAGTCATAAGCAAGTGCAGCGTCAATTCCCTTCAGAATCTCTCTCTTCACGCTCAAATCGTGTGCTAGAAAGCTGATACTTCACTACAACTTGGATTATTTTGCCGGCGTTGAAGTTGCGCCGAGATACTTGCACTGTCTCCTGCATCCGATGGCAACTAACTGTAACTTGTGCTCGGGCCACATCTTGCCCCCCGACACGCACCTGTTCTGCGTCGCGTGTATGGGTCTGGCCCATGCCGAGTCAGCCCTCAGGGACGGAGGGTCCTGCGACCACTGCGCGGACATGTCTCTCCGAGCTCTCAAAGCCAGGAGGGAAGAGGCTCGCGCAGCAGCGGGGATCGGGCCTACCGCCGCCACTGAGCCGCTGGTAGCCCCCCCCCCCCCCCCCAACCGCGAGTCGAGATTCGTCCCCCGGTGAGCTTTCCCGACCCCACCTTTCAGCCCCCTCGCGAGGTCGCTGACTTCGTTTCCTTCGGGGCGAGTGAGGAAGACGACTCCATGTCTCTGTCTGCCTCCGAGAACGACTGGGGTGCGGAGCAGGCCGCATCGCGGGCGGCCGCGGAGCAAGAGACCCCGGCGGACCTGCAGGACGAGCTCTTCCGTATCCTCTCGAAGGCCGTCGAGGAACTGGACCTGTTGTGGAAGGCTCCCGACAAACCTTCAAAGAGCAAACTGGATACGTGGTTCCTCCAATCGAGCCGCCGTCAGGCCGCTTCGAAAAGAGGAACACCGTTTTTTCCTGACGTGCATGAGCACGTGGTGAAGTCGTGGGTGGCCCCGCAATCGGTGCGCACCCTCACTTCCACCCAAGCCATGTTTGCCCCCGTGGACGAGGCGGGGGACCACGGCTACCTCCGCATCCCCCCCGTCGAGGAGACCGTCGCCGCGCACCTCTGCCCGTCGGCTCCCGCCCTGGGCTCGGACCGCAGCCTGCCGTCCCGAGCCTGCAGATTTACGGCCCACCAAGCTAACAAGGCCTACGGTGCCGCGGGGGAGGCGGTTTCTGCGTTGCATGCCATGGCCGTTCTCCAAGTGCTGCAGGCTAAGCAACTCAAGTCTCTAGATGACGTCGCCTCTATCGACGCTGACGCCATCCGAGATCTCCGTTCGGCCACGGACCTCGCGCTCCTGGCCACGAAGCGTTCGGCCCAAGCAATTGGCCGTTCGATGGGGTTCCTGGTGGTCCTCCACAGACACCTGTGGCTCACCCTGTCGGACGTACAGGAGGCCGATAGGAAGACGCTGCTGAACGCACCGATCTCCCCTGCAGGCCTGTTCGGAGACGCCGTGGAGAAAGTCACTGAGCGTTACTCCGAGACGCAGAAGAAAGCGAAAGCCATGAGCCACGTGATTCCTCGGAGGGCGCCGCCGCCGCCGCCGCCGCAGCCGCAGCCTCGCTCTCGTTCGTCTTCCGCCTCGGGCCGCCAACCTCGGGCCGCCAACCTCAGGCCGCGGCTAGAAGACAGGCAGCGCCCCGCCCGGGACCGGATGCCCGTAGAGGCCGTAGCGGCCAGTGGCATGGAGCGGGCAGCAAGAGGACGCAGAGGAGCCCGCGCAGAAAGCCCACCGCGTCCCCTGCGAGGCCTAAGCAGTCGTCCTGACCGCTCGGGCAAGATGAGAAGAGAGCGCCAGGTCGGCCCCGTGTCCAAGCGGCGCGCTCTAATGCACTTGGTCCCTCGGCGTTCTGCGAGCGGCGCGTGCAGTTGTTTTGTGAATGTTGTCAATGTTGTTTCTTGTTCAAAAATAAAGCAGATCACTACTTCACAAACAGAGCTTTTTTTCTCCTCTTGCACCACACACTGTGTTACCCGCCCTGCCTTCGAGCAGCGCAGAGTCACGGTCAATAAATATTCCCAGCCCTCACATAGCGGCGATGACCGCAGGTTTATATCAGCCCACACTCAGTCATTTTCAGGCAGCGTGGGAAGCTATTCCGGGCATTTCGCCGTGGGTGTTGAATATAATTCGGCGCGGATACACAAACGCAGACCACCCCGCTTCCGCGGCGTAATTCAGTCATTAACTTTGCCCCAAAACGCTCACGTGCTGAGGCAAGAAGTGTGCAGCTTGCTCGAAAAGAAGGCTATAGAACCGGTTCCCCCGAAAGAGTGGGAGGACGGATTCTACAGCCGCTACTTTGTTGTACCGAAGAAAGGAGGGGGTCTCCGCCCCATTCTGGATCTGAGACCGCTCAACAGAGCGCTTCACAAGCGCGCCTTCAGGATGACTACTCTGAAGCAAATCCTGGCGCAAATTCGCCCCGGGGATTGGTTCGCTTCAGTGGATTTAAAGGACGCTTACTTTCATATCCAGATAGTAAAGCGTCACAGGCGATTCCTGAGGTTTGCGTTCGAAAATTCGGTGTACGTTTGGACTAGCCCTAGCCCCCCGAGCGTTTTCGAAATGCGTGGACGCGGCACTTTCACCCCTCAGATCGAGCGGGATGCGCGTCTTGAACCATTTGGACGACTGGCTGGTTCTCGCGCATCGGTGGTTAGGGAAGCAGATGGAGTGGCACATAAATCGTTTGGAACTAGAAGCGGTCTCTCTAGCTCTAAAAGCCTTCCGGTTTCGGCTGAAGCATCGGCATGTGTTGATTCGGACCGACAACACTTCCGTGGTCTCGTACATAAATCGCCAAGGCGGGGTACATTCCAGAGCCCTTTTCAGGCAGGCGGAATCTTCTGCTGTGGGCGGACCGATTTTTCCTCTCGCTGAGAGCGGCTCACATCCCCGGCGTTCTGAATCGCGGGGCGGATATGCTCTCGAGAAGCGGGATTCCCCAAGCGGAGTGGAGGCTTCACCCCGGGACGGTTCAGCTGATATGGAATCGGTTCGGCAGAGCGGAGGTCGACCTCTTTGCGACGAGCGAGAATGCGCATTGTCAGATGTTCATCTCGCTGTCTCGTTCCCCCCGGGAGGTAAACGCGCTGACCGCGCGATGGCCGAGAGTCCGCCTCTATGCTTTTCCTCCGGTGAAAATTTTGCCCATGGTGTTGTGCAAAATCAGGGAGGAGAAGGCGGCGGTCACTCTGGTAGCCCCGAACTGGCCGAATCAGCCCTGGTTCGCGGATCTGGTAGAGTTACTGGCAGGACAGCCATGCAAGATTCCGCTCAGGAAGGTCCTTCTGTCTCAGGCGAGCGGAACGATCTGGCATCCCAACCCCGGGCTGTGGAACCTCGATGTGTGGCCGCTGCAGGGTCGCTGAGCGGGCAGGACTCGCTGCATGCGCGTGTTTTGAATACCATCGCGGAGGCGCGAGCTCCGTCCACCAGGCGCCAGGATGCTTTGAAGTGGGGTGTGTTCTCGAAATGGTGTCAGAATGTCGGTATAGACCCAGCGAACTGCTCTGTGTCGGTTATTCTACGCTTCCTTCAGTACAGGATGGACGAAGGGAGCCTACCATCCACTCTGAAGGTATATGTGGCCGCTATTGCCGCGTTTCACCCCCCTGTTGACGGACAGTCTATCGGTAGACATGCGTCTGTGACACGGTTCCTCAAGGGAGCTAGGAGATTATGCCCTGCACGGCCGCCTTCGGTACCGCCGTGGGATTTAACGTTGGTCTTGGACGCTTTGTCACGACCGCCTTTCGAGCCCTGAGCTTCGATTGCCATTAAGGAGCTATCGGTTAAGACGGCACTGCTTCTCGCTCTCGCCTCGGCGAAGCGGGTTGGGGATTTACAGGCTTTCTCGGTAAGTGAAGATTGTATTCGCTTTGGACCGGGAAACTGTAATGTAATTCTCAGACCGAGGCCGGGTTACGTTCCTAAGTTGCTCAATACCCCGTTCAGAGCGCAGATTGTTTCTCTGCCTGCCCTGTCCACTGAGCCATCAACCTCTCAGGATTCGGTTGCTCAGAGTGCTATTTGCCCAGTCAGAGCGCTCAGGGAATACATTTCTCGCTCGGCAGCTTTTCGACAATTGGACCAGCTGTTTGTGTGCTTTGGTGGGTGCAACAAGGGACGGGGGGTCTCTAAACAGAGACTTGCTCACTGGATTGTGGACGCTATTGTTTTGGCTTATGATTGCCTGGGGCAGGAATGCCCCCTTAACGTCAAGGCCCATTCGACTAGAGCGATTGCCTCCTCGTGGGCTTGGACTAAGGGTATGTCTATTCAGGATTTATGTCTTGCGGCTGGCTGGTCTTCTCAGAACACGTTTGCCAGGTTTTACAAGTTGGATTTGCCCTCTGTAGCGTCTCAAGTGCTTTCGGTGAGTTGATTGCACACACAGCACTGGATAGAGCTGCTCTGCGCTTTGCTTATGAGTTGTTCTGTGTGCTATTTGTGTGTTTGTACTGTTGTCACCGCTATGCGTTGTCCTTCTCTTACTGTTGTTATTGCCCTGTTTTTCGACAGTGCAAACTTCCCCCGGTTATACTGCTCGGGTTATACAAATTCTGGCAGTGTTTGTGAGCTTGTGATTGGTCCCCTTGGGCCAATCAGAGGTTAGAGGTTCGCTATTGGTCAATCTCGGCCTATCAGACGCTTGCATACTGGGGAGGGGCGGTTTTGGTATTGGGTCTGTTGTCAGTGGTTGTTTGCTGCCACGGCGGGATTCTATACAGTTCCCATATACGACATCCGTAATGTCGAGTTCCGTAGCCTTGATAAGGAACGTCTCCGGTTACTTTCGTAACCTCGGTTCCCTGAAAGGCAAGGAACGAGACATTACGCTCGCCGCCGTGTTCGCTATTGATTTAGCATGTTTAACATGTTTGATATTATCGCAAGTCCTAGCGTAGTCATAGTGACGTAAAACAATCAACAACCAATAAAAGCGTTCTCAGAAAAACGGAAACAGGAAACAGGAAGCCATCAGTCACAACAAAGAAACATGTCGACGGACGTGGAAACACAACGAGCGCCAAGTAGGCGAAAATGGACCGTGGATAAAGAGGAGCGCCTTGTCGAGCTTGTCATCCCATTAAATAGTCAACTCTTTATTAAGAAATGTTCACATAACAATGTCTAATTTGATGTTTTTTCATTCCTGGAAAAGAAAGTGATTTATTGTAATTAAACAATATAAATTAATATTTTTTTACTCATCAAACAAAAAATATGCATAAAAATGCCTATTTTAATGGAAGAAAAAATTAGGACCCCTAATAACTAGTGATACCCCCCTTTGTTGAAATTAATTCAGTGAGATAAAATGGTGGAATGGCTGATGTCAAAGTCCTTTGATATCTTTCACTCATAAGCAGTGTGGGGGAAATATATGGGGGGGTGTCCTAATTTATTCCTCCTCAAAAATTGCATTCTTTTAAAATTACATTTCACAGAGAGTCTTAAAAAGGCCTTCCTTATTTTAAAATAGTTTAGTTAAATCGCTGGGTCCTTCAGTATTGTTAAAATTGTTATTACATGTCCGTATGTTGAAAAATAGACAGGCTTTCATGGTGTCCTATTTTTTTCCACATGACTGAATGGTTGCCTTTATATAATTTAATAATAATGATAATTTATTATTATTTTTATTATTATTTAATGATGATAATCACATAATTTGGACAGTGACTCCCACCCCCTGCAGAACACCATCACTGCACTGAGCAGCCATCACTGCTCTGTTTATTTATTGTATATATCGTTTACATTATTATTATAAAAAAAAAATTCCAACTATTCACTGTGCTGCTGCAACACTGAGAATTTCCCCATTGTGGGAACGTAAGGTCTATCTTATCTTACATACCACCACCACTGTAGGCCTACCTTCAGAAATATTTTGGATCATACAACATAATGTGATGCAGTAGCTAACTGTAGCTGCTTCTCCTCCATTTTTGTTAAATCACTGCTGAGCATGATGGGAGGAATTTGGTGGGAATAAAAAGCTAAAATAATCTAGTTGTAGTCCTGTAAATAGTGTCACTACAAGATTCAGTGTTTGTAAAATCTTTAGTCTGAGACTAAAAACTGTGAACCCAAGTCTTTAGATGTGAGCTGATAATCTTATAAAGTCTTTTCTAAATCTTTTCAAAGTCTTTAGGTGTACAGAAAGCATTACTTAACCCCATATAGTAGGCCTATATGGAGAATGAAATTGTCAAATATGAATGTTATATGCATTCTGTAAAAAGTAGCCTACACAGGGAGTTTTTAAGTTGAACTGAACTATTTAAAAGGTGTAAAATACTTAAATAAGTAAAAAGGTGCCACAATTAATTGTAGTAAAGATCACTTATGTCTTTGCACTTATAAAAAGTATGTTTTATATCTTGGAAATCTGAGTACAATACAATTATTCCTTTTCAACAGTACTAAAGTACAAAGTATGAAGTACAGTCACTCAAGTACGTCACCTCCTGCGTGTAATATAAAGTACAATATTTATGACTAAATAGATTTAACACTGATTTGTGGTTTGTTTGTAAAGACGGTGTGGAAAAGCTGATTCTGAAAGGCTATTGTTACACAGAGAACTTTCATACATGAGGCTACAATTTTCATTTTAATGTTGAGCTACTACAGTATGAACAGCAAGACGTGTGTTATAGTCTACCCTCAAAATAGCAGCACACTAAAATAGACTGACTAAATGTGTCACATACTTCTTCTCTAACACTTGTAAACAGCTGGAGAACAACTAGCGCTCGTGTTGCTGAGAAGACCGACCCTTTCTGTTTACTCCCTCCAGCTGACTTATCTTATCTGTCAGTTTATGGAGGACTGTGGACTGGATCTCTCACACACTCAGAGCGCAGTCCCTGGATCTCTCACACACTGACGGACAAGCTCACAATGGCATGTGTTTGGAAAGTTGTTCTTCTCAACATCTTCATTGTCTCTGGTAGAAGTAACGTGTTGACAGGTATGTCTTAATGTTTTACAGGTTAGATTTAACTTAAATAACACTCCACTTATTTTAAGTGACAAGTTGTTTATTGAAGAGCAAAGCTTTCGGCAGTGTTTTACCATTATGAATTTATTCGAGCATGAGATAATGTTTTGTTTTTAACATGGAAGAAATAAAGCTGATTTTAAGGCAGTGTGAAGGCGAACGTGCAATGAACACTTGAACTTGGTTATGCAACAACTGATACTACAATACAGTTCAGAGGTAGAATTATATTACAACTGGATTAAAAATCGATACAAAAAAATTGGCAGATTGCCTCCCACTAGCATGCTATAAGGACATTATGTGGTCAACAATATTTTATTTATTATTTTTGAAAACATTTTTTATTAAATTGTTTGATTTAATATTATATATACAAAAAAAAATGATTGCAAAATTATTTATTTATTTACTTTTTACCTTACACTAGTGGCCAAAAGTGATCCTAGGAAAATGTATCAAATATTATTAAAAATATTTTGTACTCATATTCCGTAGTTGTGCCTGCAGTGCAGTCGATTGTTTTATTTGTGATAATAACGCAATGAAACATGGCAAATGGCAAAATTTCCCAGAGCATAAAGTTTTTCCCCATTTGTTTTTAATTTAAAAGAGTTACAAGACATTGAAACCTAAATTAGGAGAAACAGTCATCCCAAAAGACGGACTATATATTTAAAATGAGATCTCAGGAAAATGTATGATCAATATATCACCAGCCTGATTATTATATCTCTGATGATTATGCACTTGTTTGCCACAGGTCATTTTTGGCACATCTCAGACCTCCACTGGGATCCGTCTTATGATGTAGGGAGTAACTCGGCATCAAAATGTGCATCTAGTGGAGGCCGTCCGACCCCGAATGCAGGAATATTTGGGGATTACTCTTGTGACTCCCCGTGGACTCTAATAAACTCATCAGTGCACGCCATGAGAGAGATCCTGCCGGACCCGGACTTCATCGTTTGGACGGGGTATGAGCCACATGTCCTCTAAACTCACGCGACTCTACTGATGTATTTAAACCCGCAAGTTCACATCACCCCGATTCCCTTAAAAAAAAAAAAAAAGCCAGTTGGATTTTTCCTTTGGCTTCTAGATTATTGCAGAAACCAACAAAAGTTTATGATTCATGCACCTTTTGTTCATTATGATAATCCAACACGAATTTTGAAGCCTATACAATCGGCAGAAGTCGTAAGCTCTAAACGAACTATATCATGGTCACATGTTAAAATGCAACTACAAAAACACGTCATCCCTGCAGCACTTATTCAGTTTTTACTGATTTTAAATAGATATTCAACACTATTATTGGCTCTATCATACACCCGGCGTGACGCAAGTGTCTTTTGCTAGTTTCAGCCCGACACAGTTTTCATTTTCACGCCCTGCGCCACGTTGTTTAAATAGCAAATGCATTTGCGCCCATCTGTTCCCCCATGGGCTGCTGGTCTAAGAACGAGGTGTGTGTTCGGGCGCATTTGTTGGAGCGTTGCTATTTTGAGGAACTGAGATAGACTGAGCCATTGACCAAATGAAATCTGGACTAAAGTCAATGGCGCATTATTTTTTTGTTGTTAAAAGGGTGCATTTAAGCGGGTCCATAACATGCTTACACTCACACACACACACACACACACACACACTGCTTATTACACACACAGGGACAGCACACAAACATGCCAAAAACAAAAGGATTACAATGTAAAAGATTAATGTTGTGTACATAAAGATATGGTGGAATCCGGCTTGTATGCTTGAGCGCTTTTACTTCTCTCTCACACACACACACGCATGCACGCACACACACACACACACACACACACACACACACACACACACACACACACAAGACCTATAAGACCAGTTTGGTTGAAGGATGTTATATTTTATTATATTATAAATGTTAACACTTTACAATAAGGTCACATTTATGCATTAACATTAACTAACATTTTAACACACACAGCTTTAACCTCGCGCACGAGCTGATCAGTTTCCTCGCTAGAGAAGCGTTCAGTTTTTCCGCTTGCAAATCCCGCCATGTAAATAGGGAATCCGCCAGCGACCACAACTGGGAATGGGAGATGAGACTCTGATTGGTTTATTTCACGTAGCGCCCAAAACACACCCATTACTCATTAAGAGAGTATAGGGACAACTCTTTTACACCATGCGCCGGGTGCGCCGACCATTTTCCCCGTCGTTAGACTAGCAAAAGTGGATTCGGACACGCCATAAGTGCACTTGCGCCGCGCGCTTTACGCTTAGATCCTTAAAATAGGGCCCTGACAGTCAAATGTCAAAAAATAATTTTCAGGCCAAAGGCTTTTAAAGCAAAGTTTTGGAAGCAAATATAAAATGTGTATGCGTGTGCAATGATTATAGTAAGAGAAAATTGGCCAACAAGGGTATGATACAATCCCCATTCTTCCATAATATTATTTGGGGAAATAACAATAATGAAGAACGAGTTGGCGTCTCAAACATTTGACTTATGTACTTTCCTCTCCTCTGCTGAACTGTTTTCCACAGAGATGATACGCCTCATGTGCCCAATGAGCAGCTGGGAGAAGAACCCGTCCTGAGAATAATCGGCAACCTCACCCACATCATCAAATCTGTCTTTCCTAGTATGTGTTTCATTAGGCCTATACTATACCTATATATATTTTTTGGTTTATAAAATTCATTGTACATCTGTATTTCTTTAGAAACCAAGGTGTATTCTGCGATGGGAAATCATGACTACCATCCAAAGAGTCAAATGCCTCCAGAAAAGAACAGAATTTATGAGCAAACAGCAAACCTGTGGCACGACTGGCTGCACACCGCCTCCAAAGAAACCTTTAAAACAGGTACAAACTAAAGCAGCGCATTACCAACAACACACTGACACACAAAAAAAGACTATAAGACCAGTTTGGTTAAAAAAGGGTGTTATATTTTATTATATTACAAATGTTAACACTTTACAATAAGGTCACATTAATGCATTAACATTAACTAACATTGAGCAATTAATTCATATTTATTTATCTTTGTTAATAATAATAATTCAACTTAGCTCAGGTCCGTTAAATAATATTATGCATTGGTAAATGCTGAAATTAACTTTAACTTAAATTAATAAATGTATTTATTCATTGTTAATGTGAACTAATGTTAACAAATGGAACCTTAATGGGATTGTGAAGTGTTACCGTAAATTCTTATATAGCTTTAAAGAATGTCATATAACTATGCTTGTTAATTTTCTGTCTTTCACAGGTGGATATTACACAGAAAAGTTGCTGAATCAAACTGGCTTCAGAGTGATGGTGCTCAATACCAACCTCTATTATGACCAGAACAAACTGACAGAAAACATCAAAGACCCTGCAGACCAGTTCAGATGGGCTCACCAAGTGCTTCAGGACGCTGCCAAAAATCACGAGAAGGTCACTGTATATATATTATACACTGTAAAAAAAAAACCCGTTGTTTTTACGGAAAAAAACTGGCAGCTGTGGTTACCAGAACTTTACCGTCAAAAATACGGTAGCAACGTTATTGGTTTTACAGACTTAACTTAAAATTTACAGTAATAAACCGTATTTCATTATCTGATATAATGCAAATTTACCAACCTATTGAAGTATTAATATCTGTTTTGTATCATAGTAATACACTGACAACTAACAATAACTACAGCAGTGATGAGAGTCACATGATCAATCAAAGCTCATTATAGGCATTCTTCCACAAGAGAGTTAATACAATTATATAGAAGCGGCGCAGTGTTATTTGCACAAACACTAAACACCATCATGGTAACACACATGAAATTTTAAAAATGCAATAAACATTCATTTAACAACATTAAATGTAACATAAAACCCTAATGTACATAACTGATTAAAAAAAACTAAGAAACATAGTTATTTCAACAAAAATAAATCAAATGTGAAGCGTCACGCAGGGAATTGTGGGAATGTCAATTTACGTTTTTTCACTGTAAATTATACAATGAGTTGTTCTTTTTCACTTTCAAAATTTTTACTGTTATTTTACAGTAAAATTACATTAAATGTACGTACCGTTAGATCTATCACAGTTATTTACCGTATATAGTAAGGAAACTTTCTGTTAGCCAATTAACAGTTTTGCACTGTAGCATTTTTAGTCTTTTACCGTTAAAATCACGATCATTTTTTACAGTGTACAGTATTTATAGAGCGAGGGAGCTAAACCTTCAGTTTTGTGTGATTCTTTGTTCTGTTTTACCCAGGTTTACATCATCGGCCACGTCCCTCCAGGGGTTTTTGAGAAGAAGCGAGATAAGGCCTGGTTCAGAAAGGAGTTTAATAAGCTGTACATCGATCTCATCCAGAAGCACAGCGCTGTTATCCTGGGCCAGTTCTTCGGGCATCACCACACGGACAGCTTCCGCATGTTCTACAGCTCAAATGGTACCGCAATTTTGCTACATTTTCTGCATCTTTTTGGACAAATTGGCCAAGAAATGCATTTCTCAAAGCATTTTTCTCCCCTTTATTATCCATGCATCATTTTAATTTTTCTTTCCAGAGTTGCATTTGGCTTGCACACTACTAGAGACTAAAGATATTATGTACTATGTGTTATGGACAAAACCATCAAAGAACCATTTTTGGTCCCCCAAAGAAGCTTTCAGTGATATCTTCTTAGAAAAAAACAAAAAACTGCTCTGTCTTCAAAACGTTTGTACAAATGGGTCAGAGTTTGCGTGCAGGTGCGCAAATTTTCCCATCAAGTTTGTTTTTATAAATCACAACGTATGCGTCGGAAGTGGCGTACGTACGCCTCTTTCAGGCCCTGTTTTGTGCGACGCAACGGTTATAAATGAGGCCCCAGATGTGGGCCGGATCTGGGCCGACACTATGTTGCTGTCTGGGTCTGCTCTACTGATGTAATCTATTGGTGGATTGGTGCATATGTATATATATATAGGCGTGAAACCTCCAATATTGGCCCGTGTTTCAGTTTCATTGTCCAACCCCTGTAAATTGCTGCTTTACTAACTTTTCAATATCCTTTTACACAGGATCTCCAATAAGTGCGATGTTCCTGACACCAGGAGTTACGCCCTGGATAACAACACTACCTGGTGTGAAAGATGGCGGAAATAACCCTGGGATTCGCATCTTTGAGTATGACACCAAAACACTTGTGATCAAGGTAAGATGCATCAACAAGGAAAAAATCTGTATTTATATGACAAACCAAAATTTATTGAGACACCTTCAACATTTCTCACATTATCTCAGTTTATTCGCTATAGTTTAGAAAATGGTGATAAAATATGAGCAGAACTCAGTTTTATCAGATCAGTGGATATTTCACTGGTTTTGTCCGTCCTTCTGTTAGACTCTCACACATGAATTATGTTGAATATCTGTCAGCTGTTAAATTTAAGAACACAATTAGATAATACCAGTTTAGCTCAACCAGTGACCAAGCATGTTGTTCAGTCTGTGTGTAAAAAGAGCATTAGCAATTAAAGAAAAAACACTTCAGCAAAACATGCTCAGGTCAAAGTGTCTGAATAACTTTTGGTCCCAAATTTGTATAAATGTTAGTCACAGTATGAAGAATTATTGGGTATAATATGTCTTATAATATGTATAATATAATATATCTGTATAATATGAGTTTACTTTATTTTGCTCTCCTCACTTACATAAATGAACTAGTGTCCTGCACACACTAGTAAAAAAAAAAGATCAAAAATCATATGGTGTTTGAATCATTTTTGGTTTGACTGTATATAACAAACTTACAACATATTTACACTTCTGTTCTTGGTGTTTTGCGTTCCTAAAGGATATAGTCACCTACTATCTGAACTTGACGCACGCAAACACGGCCCGAGCGCGCTGGGAGAAGGAGTACCGCCTGACGGAGGCGTTTCGAGTGCCGGACGCCTCTCCTGCCTCGATGCACCGCGTGATGGAGCGCATCACCAGCGACCCGTGCTCTCTGCAGAAGTACTTCGAGTTTAACTCGGTGGGTTACGACCTGACGGAGTGCCACGCCGACTGCCGCGTCGATCACGTGTGCGCGGTGAGAGAGGTCGACTTCGAGGCGTACGAGCGCTGTGTGCTGAAGGAGGGAGGATCATCCACAGGACCAGTGCTGTTAACTCTGCTTCTGTCTCTGATGATGAGTCTGCGGTGCTTCAACTGATCACAGAACAGCATCATACTGTCAGCTTATCCCTCCAGACTGGGTCTCAATATCACCAGTATTTAAAGTAGCCTAGATGAATAACTTTAATATTTGCAGTAGTCAACATTTGAAGTGGATCAAAACCTTTCTTCAAAGTTATACATGAATTTTGAACCACCCATCCTAGGACAACTTTGATTAACTTTTTTTTGATACACTTCAAATGTTGACTAGGCCTACTAGGCTATATTTGGGGCCAGATTTACAAAACAGGGCAAATTAGCGTGAGAGCACCAGTGTTGGGAAAGTTCATTTTCTACATGAACTAGTTCAAAGTTCAGTTCACAAATTTTAAAATGAACTAGTTCAGTTCATAGTTCATACTTCAAAAAATGAACTAGTTCATAGTTCTTTTTTTTTCCATATGTTGCTGCGAGCTTCTTTTTTTTATTATTATTATTGCCACCGCCCATATACAACAACCACAGACAGCAATTATTTTATCGACGGGCAAGGTTTGCACAGAAATGTAAGATTTTCCCATCCTCACCGACCTTGTCATAAAACTCGTTTAAATGATCATACGACGCCCTTCGCTGCTTTGTCGATGCTGCTTTTTGTTTTGATGACGCACGCGACGGTATGGAGGGATTATTGGGACAGATTGAAAACTAAAAGTCTAAAACTAAAAGTCTTAAACGAAAACCAAAAGTCTAAGTTTGAAACTAAAAGTCTAAGTCGAAAACTAAAAGTCTAAGTCAAAAATGAATTTGGTATTTAGGATTGGGCATTTGGTATTTAGGATTGGGCATTTGGTATTTAGGATTGGGCATTTGGTATTTAGGATAGGGCATTTCGTATTTAGGATTGGGCATTTGGTCATTTAGCCATTTAGGATTTAGGATTGGGCATTTAGGGATTTAGGATTGGGCATTTAATCATTTAGCCATTTAGGATTGGGCATTTGAGGATTGAGGTACATGTATTCCTATTGAACCGAACCGGTAGCCTACGGGCGTCACGGTTCGGTGCACGAATTTACACGGAGAATACACGGTATAAAAATAAATCAAACTCTAAATAGCATACATTTCACTCTATTCGCGTTTGGTGTGAACGCAGCATAATAAACAGGCTGCGATATCAAAATTGCAATGTTGGAGTGTGTGCTGCAAAGTTCAAACTGCAAAGTGTGTATATCTACACTCGCAATAAAATACAACATTGTGCTTTTGTCACACTCTAAAATCTTGTCAAACTGTAACCTACAACTGTCACCCAACCAAAATCACACACACACACACACACACACTCTCTCTCTCTCACACACACACACACACACACACACCTAGTTCGTTCGCGCCCACGCCTCCCCCTCTCTCTCTCGCGCACACACACACTCCAGCATTGCAATCTTGATATCGCAGCCTGTTTATTATGCTGCGTTCACACCAAACGCGAGTAGAGCGAAATGTATCGCTATTTAGAGTTTGATTTATTTTTATACCGTGTATTCTGTATTCTCCGTGTAAATTCGTGCACCGAACCGTGACGCCCGTAGGCTACCGGTTCGGTTCAATAGGAATACATGTACCGTTCCAGTACCCCTATACAACGCTGTCATTAAGTTGAAGTTATCACATTATAAAGTACAGTCCTCGCTCCAGACCTGCTCTGTTTGGTTTCATTACAGTGTGCTCCTTAGCACTGGACTGACTGGAGCTCCCTCTGCTGTCCATAAGGTGCCTCTGCACCAGCCATTTCAAACCCAGCCTCCAGTATTTGGGCCACGCCACCTTATTTGCATACACTCCTCAATCCTCAATCCTCAAATGCCCAATCCTAAATGGCTAAATGATTAAATGCCCAATCCTAAATCCCTAAATGCCCAATCCTAAATCCTAAATGGCTAAATGACCAAATGCCCAATCCTAAATACGAAATGCCCTATCCTAAATACCAAATGCCCAATCCTAAATACCAAATGCCCAATCCTAAATACCAAATTCATTTTTGACTTAGACTTTTAGTTTTCGACTTAGACTTTTAGTTTCAAACTTAGACTTTTGGTTTTCGTTTAAGACTTTTAGTTTTAGACTTTTAGTTTTCAATCTGTCCCAATAATCCCTCCGGTGCGTGCGACACTGGTGTGGCTGGTGTTGCCAGATTGGGTGTTTTTTTCGCTACATATTAAGGCCTGTTTACGGTGTGTTTTAGCCAGGTTTTCGCCTGGAAGGCTATATAGAAATCTGGCACCCTATTGAACGAAGTTAAACTGAGAGACCGTGCGTTCACAGACACCAGAATGAACGCGTTCACATCGGGCAGTAATACAGCACGTTCAGTTCACGTTCGCCCAAAATATGAACGAGTTCATGAACTATCGTTCATTGAACGCGTTCAGGCACAACACTGGAGAGCACAATCCCATAAAAGCACCGATGGGAATGGAAAGTTCTGCTCGTGATTTACAGACAAATGAAAGATCACAGACTCAGCCGGATCATTTCCATAATGACCAACACAATCCACCAAGAGCAGCGCAAACAAGCGTCTGGTTTAAGACGTGCTTTTTTAAGGGCGGTAAATAATGGTGCAAATACCAGTTAGGTGACGAGCGGAAACCTTAGTAAATCACCTTGCATGTTTCATTTAAATTCTCACATCCCATAAATGTTGGGTTTGAAAGGGAAACTCTTACAAATGCATATGCAATAATATCAGCTGCAAAAATAACCCTGTCCAAGCCTTTTCAGCGTTAATGTTTTTACTACATGTCTAATAAATCCTGACGGTATAGTTTTTAACACTAAAAGAGGGTTTGCGCTGGAGCTGTTAGTAAATCTGGCCCCAGATCTATTTTGATTTGCTTATATTTAATGAACTGTCTAACCCTAAAATGAAAATGCTGGCATGAAGTTGTTTTTTGTGAAGAATGTTTATTTTTGGACCCCAAAAGAAATTTGGAGAGACATGAGCTAGAGTTTATAAATGACAGAGTTTTCATTTTTGGGTGAACTATCCCTTTAAAGTCGGCATGAAACGGAAGTTGTAATAGTCTTTTCTTCCCTGTGTTGTGCTGCAGGTATGATGTATTTTTGTAGGCCAAAATCTGGAAATTGAATTGCATTTTAGCACTTTTGGTTCAATCGTCCTGAAGTCAATGGGTTTTTGTGTGTGTGTGTCTGCTTGTGGTGGACACATTTCCACATTTTTTTCTATGACATAAAATACATCAGTAATACCTTCGTGTGTTTTCTATAAAGCTTTTACTTTTTAAAAACGCAGTTGCTACCAAGTGATCAAGTGTCTAGATGGGACTAAAGCTTGTCGTGTTGTGTGGTGTTAAGTTTTGAATTACCCATGTAAGTATCATAAACTTTGAATTTGAAATCTTTATTTCGAACATGGAAAAGAAAGTATATAAAAATATTAAAAATGTTTAAAAACATAGGAGAAAAAAACAACAAATGAGCAGCAAAAAAAAATAATATTCTGTTGACATACTTCTATAGGGATCTCCCAGTCACGTGACCCCTAGCCGCTTGTCAGCCATTTTGACGGAATACATCCGTCGGCTACTCATAGATCCATTGCCGTGGGTAATATATATTATTAGTATATTATACTAATAATATAATTATTAGTATATTAATATACTAATAATATAATTATTAGTATAATTAGCCTAAATATTGAAATACTTTGCGCTACAGTATTGATATAATTGCATGCGCAAAATCATGGTACAAAATATCTCGATACTGAACAGAATCGATTTTTCCCCCCACCACGTCATGTCATCACACTTATTTTTAGCATCACAAAAATAAATATACAAGAGGAAGATAAAGGAATTAGGAATCATATATCCATATGAAGCACCACAAGTTCTTTTTACAGGCATTAAATGTGTAGAAAAACTTCCTGACATTGAGTTCGGTGACATTACAGCTACCTTGTTCACTTCCCATCACGCTACACCGGAGCTTCATTAAAAGAAAATGATTTTTCAATCATCACCGCAAAGGTTGGTCAATTTTTTTTTTTTTCATCAAATTATAGTAGGCTACCTACAATTTTTAAACTGAGTTTACAGGGGAAAACACAAAACAAAATCACCAACAAGATTAAGTGCATATTTTGATTACCAAAAAACAACACTCGGCCCGGCAAACAGATGGGCTACTCAAATGACACTCGAAATTTACTCAAAGATGCCTTATTAATTAATACATTTAAAGTAGCCTCCTCTGTATGGATAGAAAATTGTTATATTACAAGACACACATTAAGATAGGCTTCTCAGAGGTTACTCAACATGTTTTATTATGACAGGTTTAAAAAATAATCAATGAAATAATGATAGAAATAATGTCTCTTCTGTATTAGAAAAATAAATATATAAATAACTAAAAGAAATACCTCCAAATTGAACAAAAATAGCTCTCACAAACTTACAAAAACGAACTAACAAAATGTATTTATATCTTTAGTTTTCTTCCTCTTTATCCTGTTTTTCTTCCTCGTCCTTGTTTGCCCATCTATATTTTGCTGTAGAGCTGATCTTTCCAAGCAATTTTTTAAAAACCAGGACATTTTCATCACTTTATAAAAAACAGCCAGGACAGGACGTAAAAACAGGACATGTCCTGGGAAAACAGGACTGTTGGTCACCCTAATTAAGTGTATCTTTAATGAATTTGTTTAATCTAGTTTGATCCAAGAAAAACGAAATAGCCTATATATACTTTTTTATACAATCACTGACTGTCACTGTAGTATGATAAACTGTCATTGAGACTGTCTCAACCTGTGTTTCTAACGATTTTATAAGAAGTGTCAAATAAAATACAAGATCAGCTTTTGGTATTTGAAAACGAAAGAATGTAATGTGATAATAGGCCTAACGAATTAACTGATCTAGGAATGTATGTATGCGTTTTGCCTGTTAATTGCCGCCAACCACTTTTCTCCGTTTTGTTTCTTTTGGGATACGGTATAAAGATATTCCTTTTGTATGATCAC